CCACTTCCACAATTCTTGTTAAAGGAGCAAAACAAAGCCTCCATTTTCAAACTTGTAACTAGAGGGATTTTCTGTCCCTTGAAGTTTGAAAGCATTCCTAACTGATCCAGATCTTAGACTGAGTAAGCCGAGACCTCAGCTCAGGCGCAGAAAGAGCTTTCTTTCCTCTACAGAGTGTTTGTGGCTCTTGTTGGATTCAGGATCTCCAGGAAGGGTGTGAGGGCCAGGAAGGGTGCTGCCAGGATCTCAAGAAAAGGTGTGCTGGGACTCTTGGGGTGCAGGGTATTGGTAGATGACATCCAACAGAAGTCTTGCTTCTTTCCATTTCATCTTGTTTCTCAGATGGCATTGGGAGCTGGATATCAGTGATGTCAGGTCCTTTTACATAGAGGTGGAGTTTGTGCTTCCCTGGAGGAGTGATCAGAGCCAAAGCCCTGGAGGCTAGAAGCTGTGGAGGAGCAAGGTTTGAAGGAGGAGCATAATGGGGCTCTGTTTCCCTAGCTTCATGAGTTCCCTAGCTTGATGCAGGGGGTGGAAACCCAAGGTACTGCAAGGTCAGGGCAGTGTGTGGCTGCACAATCAATTGCACAATCGACCCCTGGCCTTCTGAGGGGGATGAGAAAGAAGAGAGGGAACTAGCTTTTACCCAGGCTGCTGCATGACTTGCAGCGCATTTCAGAGCCTTCTGGGGATGCAGCTGAGCCACTGGATCTGGGCTCAGGAGGATCACCAGGAGCAGAGGCGGGAATGGGGGAGGGGTGACCTCAGGAAGGTGAGCTTCACCAGTGGGCTGCTAGTTCCTCTAGGCTTGTGCACAGACATCACTAAGTCCAATGAATTAAGAGTCAAAAAGTCAAGCGTGTTGAAGATGAGCCCTATTCCCAGATGCCTGTTTCCAAGGCAACTTTGGTTCCACCTCTCAGAGAGTGGGTGTTGGAGCAACATTTGCAGGTCCCAGTCCCTGAGGGGAGAAAGGACAAATCTGGTAGATTCGCTCAGGGATGCTAGGCAGAGTCTTGCTTTCTCATGCTCTGTCTTTCTTGCACTCCCTCGGGCCAGCCTGCACCAGGTCTCCCCCGCCCAGGTCTCTGTGTCTTCCTGTCCCCGAATGGCTGGTGATCACAGACCAGGACCAAATCCTGGGGGGTGTCAGAAGCTGTTGTCTCCTCATATGTGTCTTTGTGTGTGAGCGTTCAGAGCTCATGAGGGTGGGAGATGTGGTTAGGGTTTGTCACAAGAGTTGAGTCAGGAATGGCAGCCCGGCTCTTAGATAGCCAGGTGGTCAGCACATGGTGGGGGCAGGCCTGGTCCTGGAGAGTGCCCTGAAGAGGAGAGAGCTGGAAGAGCTGCCTCCCTCAGAGACACTTCATGGCCCAGGTGGAGGGTTGCCAGACTGTTCTGGATGCAGGCTGGGCTGTGCCCTGGTGTGAGATGAGGCTCTGCCTTTTGCGGGGGTGGGGCTCATGGGGGAGTCTGCCCATCTATTAAATAGTTGTTCTTGCTTTCCTCTTTCCCCCACTAGCTAATCATATACTCAACTTCAAAAACCCCAGTCTCGAGGAGTTGGGGGAGGACCTGGGAATGGGCAGACATGACGGGGTGCAGAAGAGACAAAGGGTGAGAGAGCAAGATTTTGCCTCAGATTTAGTAATGAGCAAAGAGCAAGAGTCTGCATTCTATCTAGACAGGAAGAAAACATTGCTGGACTGACTTCAGGACTGTGACCACCAGTGTTCAGGCAAGCCCTCCTTCCTACAGACTATGGGTTCCTTGAGCTCTGGAGCTGGGCTTTATCCTGGTCTGTGGATTCCAGCACAGACATGGGCAGGTATCCAGGGAGGGTCTGACATTGCCTCAGTAATGGTGCTCAGAATGTCCAGGTCCTAATCCTCAGAGCCTGTGAATAGACCTTATATAACAAAAGGAACTTTGCTGGTGTGATGAAGTTGAAGATCTGAGATGGGGAGACTGTACTGGATTATCCCATATGGGCCCCAAATGTAATAACTGGGTCCTTATAAGTGGGAGGCAAAGGGAGATTTGACAACAGATGGTGATGAGGGAAACAGAGATTGGAGATAGGTGCTTTGAAGATGGAGGAAAGGGCCTTGAGCCAAGGAATGTGGGCAGCCTCCAGAAGCTGAAAAAGGCAGGGAATGGATTCTTTCAGAAGGATCACAGCCCTGCCAGAACCATGATTTTAGACTTCTGACCTCCATAAACTTGTGTTGTTTTAAGTCACTGCATTCATGGTAATTTGTTATGGCAGGCTTAGGAAACTGATACAGAAGGACAAGGATTCTTGGGTTGGGATTCTGCCCCTTCCCTGCCCAGCTCCACCTTAGCCTCCCTGCTGGCTGGGATGAATGACAAAGCATGACTCCTCCACAGAGCCTCTCTACACCTCCTATTGTTCGTTCTTGGGACTGCCATCATGTGTTGGGCTCTGAGACAGGGCCTAGGATGTGTTGGCTGTGACTATTGCTTGTACCTCTGACCTACCTGGCTCAGACTGGACTCGGCCTGGGAATCCAGTTGGGTCTTGACTATCATCCAAACTCATTCCCAGCTCAGACCTTCTGGAGCCCCGGACACAGCCTCTCTTGGCTTGTGACACCCCTGGGAAGGCAGCTGTGGCTCGCAGGAGGCCTTAGGGCTGGATCCTGGGTCTGCCACTACCCAACTGTGTGACCTTGAGCTCAGGCTGTGTGACCTTGAGCCCAACTAGACTCTCTCCTTGGATGGGGGGCTGTGACTGGGCCCTCCTTAGCTCATCATGATGCCCCCTCTTCCTGCTTAGACCCCAAGTGGGTGCCAGGACAGAGAGCTGTGTGGGCCTCTGGGGTGGGTGGGGGGGATGTTTGGGATGGGTGCCGGGCAGGTGGGCTTCTCTATCCCTCTATCAGCTTTTTTCTGGTTTCACTCATGCCAAGCTCTGCCTGCCTTCTGCACCGACTGTTGGCAGGGTCCCAGGACCTTGGAAGATGAGACAGGAGCCCAAGACCAGGGCAGGCCCCAAAGCCAGTGACTTCAGACAAAGTCCTCAGCCCCAGCTCCCTCCATGGCATCAGAGGTGATGTGCCTGGGACAGAGTGGGGGTCTCCTATGCAGGGCTTTAAGGCAATGGTATAAAGGAAGGATTTTGTGAACTCAGGTCATCGCACCCAGTACTTTTAAGTTGGGTGTGGTTTTATTTTAATCATGAGGGTCTCAGGTTGGCACAGGTAGGACATGTACTAATAACATGCGCACAGATGGCAAGTGAAGAGTTGGGTCATCAGACAGGTCTTGATAACAACAGCTCATGTTTACTGAACATCTGTTCTCTGCCAGGAATGGGACTGTAAGCCCTGAGAATCTTCGCTGCCACCCTGCAAGGAGGGCTCTTCTACGTCTCCCACTTAACAGAGAAGGAGACCAAGTGGGTGGGGCAGTGGTTCCCAGATGTCATGGAGCTGAGGAGGGGTCAGTCTAAGATTTGAACCTAGGCAGTCTGACCCCTGAGCTGTACCCTAGTAGGGGCTGTATGCATGACTATGCATGTGTGAGAATGTGTGAAAATGCAGGGAACAGAGAAACCTCAGATAACTAGCTTCAACATGGTAGAAATTGATCTTCCTCCCAGGTAAGGGGATCCTGAGATAGGCAGTCCAGGGCTGGTCTAATGCCTTCCAGCCTATCAGGCTCCTTTCTTCATGTTGCCCTGCCACTCTCAATGTGCTGCCTCACAGTGCAAAGTGGCTACTGAGCTTCAGTCATCATTTCAGACAACAGGAAGGAGGAAGGGAAGGAGAAAGATGTGCCACCTACACCTAAGGGATTTGCCTCCCATCCCCACCTAGGCACTGAGGTTTTATTAATAGGGAAAAAGAGAGAATGGATAGCGAGAGCCATTTATTGTTGGCTGGGAGAAACTAGGCAGGCAGGATAAGACTCTGGATTTCCCAACACAAGGAATGTTAAGCTGGTGGTGATCTAGAGGTTCTTTAAGTCTTGCTTTGTACTGCTCATATGGGGAAACAGGCCTAAGTCAGTGGCTAAGCTGTGGTCCAGGCTGGGCCTCCTACCTGTCATCCCAGGGTTCTGTTTTGGCACTAGCGACTGGTGAAAGCAGAGCTTGGAAGAGATGAGAGGGTCAAAGTGCCCAGTAGCCGATGGCACCAGCACAGTAGAGGGTTTGCTGGGGAGCTCCCAGGGATGGGGCCACCCACCTGCTCAGGCAGGGCTGGGCTCGGCTACCCAGTCCTCCTCTCTCCCCAGGAAGCCACAGGCCCATTCTGCCCCATCCCCTGACATAGGGTAGCCTGTCTGACACTCTCAGCATTCCCTCTGATGCCTACCAGGCTGAAGTCCCATGGACTGGAGTCTAGAAAGTATGGCTGATTCCTGGCCAGGATGAGACTGGAGAATTCCATCTCAGCCAATCCTCCATCCTTCCCTCTCCTTTTTTTCTCCTCTCTCTTCATCAACTCCACCCCTCCCCTCCTCCACTCCAGCCTGCCAGCTCTGGGCTCCTTTCTCTGAGCCTTCTTCCAAAGCCCCTTCCCTCCAGACAGGTGGGAGGCAGACCTGACCTGAGAAGGGCAGGGCTTGACCCACATGGCTGCTGTAGATGGAGGAATTTTGGTGGCAGGAAGTTAAGAAGGAGAACTGGGGGCTCTTCTGGTCATATGGTGAGTGTTCTCTATCAGATTGGGATGGAAGACCCCCTACCTGTGAAGGTGGCAGGTCTAGAGGCACGGTGTGACTGAGACCTGAACCTAATGCCCGCATGTGTACATCCTGCTGCTCACAGGCAGTGGGGAGAGGAAAACAAGGATACCCAACTGAGAAACTGAGGAAACAGACCAGGCAGGAAAAGCCAGTGCTATCTAAATCATCAAAGATGCTCCAAGTTTATTATCCAAAGCTGGTGGAGTGGGGCAGGAGGAGAAGGCACTGGACAGAGTGCTGGCCAGGCCTGGGTACAAGTTGGATAGGGATGGAGTGGGAGGGGTCGGTGGGTCAGGGTCTTCAGGCCCTCATTGCCCAAAGACCAGTGAGGAGGCTGAGCGGGAGGGCTGTGCTCACACTTTTAGGGTTGCCTGTCCCATTGCCCAGCCAGTCCTTGGGAACACCTGTCCTGTTGCCCGGCTGGTCCTGGACTTGGGAGCTCTGCCAGGGCGGGATGTTGCACAGGCTGAAATGACAGCAAGTCATGGTCACCAGCGTCTCCTCTACCGTCTTGGTGAAGGGTTGGCAGTTGTCTGCACACCATGTTGAGTGGGTTGTCAGGAGGCCTGACTCTGGAGGAAGAGAGTGGAGAACAGGTGCTGAGGCCAAGGTGGGGTGAAAGTTGCCATGCTGGCTGTATATCACACGGGGTCTCTCAGGGGTTCAGGGGCCTTCCCTGGGCCACCAGGTATGGATGGCAGGGCACCTCGCTTTCCGGCCATCCCTGCTGTGTGTGTGTGTCAGGGTTCCCGTGCCTACTCACCTGTGTTTCCGTGGGTGATGAAAGCTGCACAGGAAGTCTGACTTTGCGAGCAGATCTGGGTCAATTTGCAGCGCTCCTCCTTGTGCAGGGACTGGCAGGTGTAGCACTGCAGTAGCACTGCAGGCAAGGCCAGGCTCAGGCCAAGGCAGGGATCCCCTCAAGCTCTCCTCATAAGTCCCTGGCCATCTTCCTCATTCTCAGCTGCCCCCTCCCCTGCCAAAGCCTAGCCTGCTAGAGCCTCTGGCACCTCCTGCTCAGACTGGCTGAGAGCTCATGCTCGGTCCCATGAGCTGTGCTGTGTGGAGGTGCTGGTGCTTGGAGAGGGGAATGAGGGCATAGGAAACCAGGCAGGGTAAATATTCTGTTCATCACTCATTTGGTACCTCTGCGCAGGGCCCCTGCTATGGACACTGAGGACCTGGTTGTGACTCTGACACATCCCCTGCCTCAGGGAGTGCCCATCCTGGCATATGAGGACCTAACAGGGGACACTATATAGGTGTGTGGGGTGGGACTAGGGCTGAGGGGAGCTGGTCTTGGGGGGAAGTCAGTGGGCATGGGGTGGGGGTGGGGCATGCTAGGGATCCTGAGTGGAGGCATAGGGGCAGGCCATGCAGGTTGAATGCCAGTGACATGCTCTGTTTTATTCACCATCTGGGGGGAGGTGCCGGTGAGCAGTAGGGATATTCTCTAATTAGCCCCACTCTCTGCTCTGCTCTAAGGCCTTCCCTGGTTCTCCATCACGCAGGAGTCAATCCGGCCCTCCCTCTGCGGTTGGCCCTCCTGACTCCCTTTGCCCTGCCCAACCCCTGGGGCCTCTGCATTTGCTGGTCTCTACCCTGGGCCCCCCCTGAACCTTTTTCTACCTGGTGAACTCCTATTTAACTTCCACATCTGGTACCATTGATCCTCCCAGTTAGTGGCTCTGACCCTCGGTTCCTTACCTTGGATGGCCACTGAGTGTCATGGTAAGAGTGAGAGGTGCCCTGAGTATCCACCACTCCACTGGAGGCAAGCTCACACAGGAGGGGCTTTGGCTGATCAGTTTCCATTACCCATCCCTGCCCAGCCAGCACCCACACCAGGTGTTGAAGGAATGCTCCAGGCAGAGCTGGAAGCACAAGGGTCCTGGGGACAGGGTGGGTGGGTACCTCTGTCCCTGCCACCGGGGATCCTGTTGGCTTCCTCTTCCTCCTCATCCTCATCGTCCTCATCATAGCCGTCCTGCCCATAGTCCTTGTCCTCTTCCTCCTCCTCCTGCTGCGCCCGCCCTCTCCCTGGATGTGCAGAGACACTTATAAACTTCAGCTACCGGGATACAGGGGACACTGCTTTGGGTAAGCGCTGCACCCCTCACCCCTCCATCATCCACCCACCACCGTCCACCCCAGTGCAGCCTACCTTTCGTGGTCTCCAATCCCTGCACACCCTGCTCACTGTCCTGCAGCCGAGTGGGGCCTGGCATTGTTGTTACTAACAACACCAGCTGCTGGGCAGGCCCTTTATAGTAGCCCCTGCCTCCCTCCCCCACACAGACCCTCTTCATGGCCTGTCTGTTTTACAGAAGAGGACACTGAGGCCGGAAGAGGAGATAGAATGAAATTCTGAAGCTCTGCAGTGCTGGAGAGGCTGGGCCTGGGGGAGGGGATGAGGGCTACAGATGCTCGGGGACCCATAGGGGCCCAGAACAGCCTCTATCTGCCTCCCTCTGGCCTGGGGACTCCAACCTCCTCCTTTCCTTCTCCCTAAGCCCATGTCTTGTTCCCAGACTGGGAGCCCCTGGAGGTTCCCATGGGCCCAGACTACCCTGCTCTTGCTACAGAATGATCCCTTGCCCCCACACCTGGCTGCATGCAGAACAGCAGGGCGAGCAGGACAGCCCCGAGCGCCTTCATCTTGCTGGATGCTGTTGTGTCCCTCACTCTGGGTCCTTGCTCAGGGCTCTGAATCTGTAATAAGTGGGACATAGGGCATTGCCGGGGGCTTCCCGGTGGCCCCCACCGGCTCCAGCCTCAAACAATGAGCCTTACACTGGTCTCCAACTCCAGGCGTCAGGCCAGGGACTGTTGTTTCCCTCCAGGACCTCTGGGGCCAGAGGGGAAGAAGAAATCATTGTGGTTGGCCTTGAAGTGTCCTGTCCACCTGTGTTGCTGCCCCTGCCAGCTGTGGCTGGTGGAAGGTGGTGCTGGCCACAGGAGCCACCTGGCCCTGCCCTGGTTCATTGGCCTCAATGCCTCAGACCTGCAGTGTGGGACTGGGGAAGCTCACCCTAGGATGAGGCAGTGCCTGACACCCTCACACCCCCTGTCCAGGCTCTGTGGAGCCTGGGACCCCAGGCTGCACAGCCATAGGAGCTCAGAGTCATGGACCCTCTATCTGCAAACCATTGGCCAGGCGTCTTCACTCCTCATGCCAGTACCCACCCAAGGCCTCTTTAAGAGTGTTTTAAATAAAAACACAGCAGTGTCTTCAAGCTAAGGCTGCCCTCTCAGCTCTCTCCTCTCACCTCTTCCACTCTTTCCTCATCAGGGTACTCACTGGGCCCATGGCCTCCTGGCTGCCCCTTGCTCCCACATCGGGTCTTTGCCTTGATCTTCCCTCTGCCTTGAATGCTGTTCTTCCTGGTGTCTATGTGGCCATCCCCCAACCTTGTTTTGTCTCTGCTCAGATGTGACCCCTGCAGAGAGGCCTTCAGCACGGAGACAGGTGTAGCTGTGGGTGGACAGGCCAGTAGGAGCAGCTTTCATAGGTCTTGGAGGGGCCCCCATTCCCTGCATTCCCATGCACCCCCAGGAATCCACGAGGGAAGCACATCCCAATCTCAGAAGCTCATTCATTAATTATTTCATGAATGCTTGTATCATTCACTTGTTCATCCTCCCCGGCCTCCCCTCCCCATTTTCATGCTATCCACACCCAGGTACCTTCAATATTCATTTTTTCTAGTCCTTAGACACTTTCAGCCTCACCAACCTTGATCCTAGAGAGTGTCTCCTTCCCCTTGCTCTTCCAATGTTGCCCCCAGTTGTAGGGGGTAGCCGAATATCTAGCCCCAGCTCAGCAGGGCTGCTGGGGTCCTCCAGGCTCCTACCTCACCTCCTTCCTCCTGCTGCAGTCACCATCTTCACTTTCTAAGTGAAGGCATTGGCTCCTCTGGAGACCTTTCTCCATGAAGCCCCTCCGGTGCCCACCTCCTACTATGTGCCCTCAGGCTGGCTGGGGAGTTCAAGTCTTGGCTTTAATATCCCCCCATACCTGTATGGGGTACTGGTGCCCCTGGCCTTGGAAAAATGTGAAGGCAGGAAACTCATTGTATATATCATTTAATTTTTTCCCATTAAAAATTCATCTACCTCAAATTGAAAATGTTATAGAAAATTTAACAATGTTACAATGTTAAAAAGACTAAAATAATCATGCAGGGATACTCTGCAGCTGTATTAAAGGATGAAGGTTGGGTGCAGTGGACTGGTATAATCCCAGCACTTTAGGAGGCTGAAGTGTAAGTATTGCTTGAGTCCAGGAATTTGAAAACAGCCTGGGCAACATAGCGAAACTTCACCTATACACAAAATTAAAAAATTCAGCTGGGAGCAGTGGCGCATGCCTGTAGTCCCAGCTACTTAGAGGACTGAGGTAGAAGGATTGCCTGATTCTAGGAGGTCGAGGCTGCGGTGAGCCGTAATTATGCCGCTGCACTCCAGCTTGGGAGACAGATTGAGACCCAACACAAAAAAAAGAAAAAAAAAGTAGAAGAATCTCTTTACATCCTGAATCAGAAAAAATATGAAATGCAGATAAAGCAAGGGACCAGAGTGTTAAAATGTGCTGTTTTCTGTATGAACAAGAGGAAGGCAATCTACATTTCATCAATCCATCACTGTATTCATACAGACTCTGAACCTACAGGACCTTCCTTCCCCTACTGTTCCATGCACAACCTCAGATCTGCAGTGCATCATCTTCTGCTCAAGTCAACCCCTCTGCCCTGCATACCCAGCAGAGCAAAGGAGACCCCCCAACCCCACAGTCCCTAGAAGTAAGGAAGCTGATTGTTGAGCTTGGGATGGGGTCTGTGGTAGGGGGTGTCACTTGATTCAAATAGGCTTCAGGGACTCATTCACATGGGGAGCAACTGGAGAAGCCAGAACAACACAGGCTTATGGTAGGCAGGAGTCCCCTCCCTGCCTGTGGGGTGGGCACCGATCTTGGTAATTATACAGGGAGTCCTAGCAGTCTATGCACATCATGGCCGTGTCACAGGGATGTCTCATGTGGACTCCTGGTTGGGGTAGAGGCAGAACTTCAGGGATGATGTCCTCAGTTACTCACTGGAGGGATGGGGTGGGGAATAGCAGGTTAGATAAGAGTGGATTGGGGAGGAGGGGATGGAGAAGACCATGGAAGGTGGTCCTTGGTGGGGTCTCTCTGTGCCCCCAGGTGGCAGTGGGTAGCCGACCCACCCTTTCCAAGTACCACCCCTCCCATGTTGAGGTGACTGATTACTGCTGGAACACAGGCCCTGCTGAGCGAGGGAAAGTGCTGCCTTGGATGACTTCTCCATCCACACCTTTGGGATCTATGATCTGGAGTGTGAGTTGGGTGAGAAGATGTCCCAAGCTCACAGAGAAGATGTCCCAAGCGGCCAGGACACAGAGAGCCCCAGGCCGGGACAGGGAGCTGGCACTTGTCTATGCTGGGGAAGTTGACAGGTGGCACTCACTCAAGGAGATGTGAACTTCCGGGAAGATGCAGTAGGTCTGTGGGGGCAGAACTCCAGAGCCAGCCTGGGGGACCAGGACAGGGAGAGTAGGTCAGTCTCGGCAGGTTCTACCTCTGTGCTCTTGCCCACATATGAACTCCCTCCTGACGGCCCTCAGCGCCCATCTTCTTCCTGTTCTATTCTGGGCTCACGTTTTTGAAGGAAATGGGAGTCTGAGCTTTAAACCCAGGGCTGCTCCACTCAAAATTCAACAGCTCCTGTGTACCACACTGTCCTGTTCATTTTAGAATGGGCCCAGGTAGGGAGAAGTGAGGAGCTAGAGGTGAGGGTCCAGCAGATGCTGGCAGGTGCTGTCCCACAGCTCCTGTCCATGGGTGGGCTTGGTGGGAGAGTGGGTGTGGAGCCCTGGTCCCTACCCTGCTCACCCCTCTGGGAATAGCAGAGGCCCAGGCTGAGCACTCTTGTTGCCCGGGGTTCAGCGTGGGCTTCTGCTGCCCCTGCCCAGTCCTCTCTCCTCCTTCTCCTCCTCAGTGTTGTGCTTAGCAGGCAGTCAGGATGATCCCAATGCAGCCCTCATGTCTCAGCCAAAGCACGTGGCTCCAGGACTTCAGGGCTCTGGATGGGGTCCTGGGGTCCTGAGGAGGAGGGAGGCTGCCAAGGTCAGGCAGGGATCCCCAAGGGGGGTTTTGTCAGACCACAGGGCTTCTACTTTGCTCAGTAGCAGGGACTAACCACTGACCAGGGCCAGCTTGGCACCTGGAACATCAGCTGCCACAGGTTTGCTCTCTGTTCTATCCTAGTGCCTGGCAGGTTTTTTGTGGTTGTTTTATTTTGTTTTGTTTTATGAGTGAATTGTTTCATTGGAACTTTGATGCCCTACACCAGATTTTACTTACAGATGAGGAAACAGGCTAGAGAGTTGAACTTCAGGTTCCAGTTGTGGCAGCCGGTGCCCTGGGTGCTCGGTCAAGCCTGGGTGCCTTCCTCCTAGGAGATCAGGACCTTGAATTTCCTGTGGCCCCAGGAAGGATGAGCCCCAGGCTGGGAGCGGTGCCTCCACCTCCACCTGCCAGCAAGTGTCTTTGGCGAGGGCTGTGCCTCTCTAGCCCTCATTTCGTTGCCTATTGGACAGGGTTGGCAATATTTTCCTCAGAGGATTTGGGTGTGTTTCAGACAGGGTTACCATATGAAAGAGGCTGAGCCTGTGGCAAACTGGTGCTCACAGAAATGTGAAAGGATGGTTGGGGGACTTGGAGTCTGAATCTGCCTTTCTCAGCATGACCTTGGGCAGTTCACATCACCTTTGTGGCTCAGTCTTGGGTACCTGCAAATGGGATAACCATAGCCTCCCTCCCAGGATGATCAGCAGGTCAGATTAATACCCACAAAGCAGTTGGCACTGTGACTGGCATGTCACACCCCCAAAGTCCCTCCTGGTTCTCATCATCACTCCAGCTGCTCCAGGCCTGGCACCAGACACTGCTCTTGACCCTGTAGCATCCCTGGACCTTGGACACAGGTACTGGGGAGCAGCCTCGACCAAATCTGGCAAGGAATAAATCTCACATCTGTGGATGTCCCTTGCCTCCCCTCCTGGGGGTGAGCCTCTTCCTGGGAGTGGGGGAAGCCTTGCCATGCTGTTCTTACCCCCAAGGCCCCTGCTGGCCTTCTCCCAGAGCCCCTCTGCAGAGCCCCCACTGTGGCCAGAGAGGAAAGGATCTCAATCTCCACCATACCTTCCTTCAGGAAGAAATGATTCTCTGAATTCTGCAAACGAGCAAAGGGCAGTACAGGGATGAATTGGTCAGAGCCCTCAAAGGATGGAACTAGAGCTTGGCAGGATGCCAAAGACCTCCCCCTCCTCATCATCAAGCTGCCGAGCTGGTGGGCAGTGGGCCCACGTGCCTCTCTTGGTTTGGGAGTGGCCTTGAGGAAGAAGGGAGGCAATCAAGCTGACCAGGGCAGTGGTCACTTTCCTTGTCCTGGGGGTAGATTCCTTCCTTGCTCTGTGAGGGTTTCTCAGTTAAACCCAGCTCTGAGCTCCACTCCCAGGGTGGCTCCTTGCTAGGCTTCAGAAAAGGTCCTTCAGTCTTCGGACCACCTCTGTGTGATCCCTGAGCCCCCTGTCACATTTGGGAAGGCCATGTGTGCTGGCTGAGGCACTGGTTTCCC